CCCCAAAACCCCAAAACCCCACCTAGCAGTGTAGAGTTGATACTTATTGAACCAATAAAATACATAATAAATTGTAATTTTATACTTATAATTCAAACTATTGGGGGAATCAACTGTGTTTTAAAAAGTGTCAGACCCGCTTTAAAAACCATTTGATCATATATTTTGAAAAGTTCATCTGCGAATAGCCATGTACCGTTTGTACTTTACTTCTGCCCATCTCCATCTTTAATAATCCAGTTTCCTTCGAAGAATACAAGACTTAAAATTTAAGAAATATATGCCTTACCAGAACTAAATTCTTGAGAGCGATGTATCTTCAAATTTAATATCACACTTGGAAGTTCGTCCAACTTTTATAATTCCAGTTTAGCTTGAAAAATTAAAAATCTAGTCATTTTTAGGTCCATCTAAAAACCTCAACTATATTTTGCTTGTATCAGGAACACCATTATCATCTAAGCAGAATTATACAGCCATGTGAGACTCACCAAAAGAAATTATATATCCATGTTTCATTATCTAGAAAAAGAAGTAAACTCCAAATTAAATTATATTACGATTGGCATATCAAGTCGAATAAAGGTACCAGACCCATCTCCTAAATCACAAATATAGTAGCTCTTTTCCTCTTTGTTGTACTTTATTATCATGTGTTTCTTGCCTATTCCTGCCTTGGGCTAATTAATCACAAAGTCATTTTGCATTTCCTAAAGTGGAGTATTAGGCTAACTTCCTAGTATTGTATAACCATCATTTTTATTTCTCAATGAGCCAATTAATCCGCAAGCATTAATCTTTAGTTATATGTTTTAGGGTAATGAACCTCCTTCAAGGACCTTTAAACATAATTATTTATGAAAAACCCGATCATTATAATTACCTCTATTTGAAGGACAGGAGCCTATTTAATTTCTTCTCTTGGTATGACTCTGTTTAGTTAAACTGCTTTGAGAAGTGGATGCTTCACACTCTAAATTTTGATAAATTTTAACTTGTTTTTTACTTGATAAGCATCTGCCATGTCCACGTTTGTAGTCATCTCGGAGGAAGATGGTGGGTTATTCGATTTTTTCTTTTCAATTATTTCTTGCTAAAATGATTAGTAATTTAATTTTACATGTTAACCCTCCTAGATTAAAGCATTTCTTGGAAACCTTTGATCTGAACAACAATTACCCTAAAAATCAGCATTGAGGGAAACTGAAATTACCATTATTTTAGTTAGATTAAAAAATATTCGATAATTTTTCTAATATTTTTCATCAACATAACTAAATTTAATTGCTAGATAAACTTCTTTGGGGTTTTGGGGTTTTGGGGTTTTGGGG